AGATGCCATCCTTCAGATGAGATAGTAGAACTGAGGTCCTGTCCGCCTGTTCAAGATCAAAGAAAAGAGAAGAGAGTTTCTCCTGGTGTCCTGGCCAACAATCCCCCAAACAAAACTGCTCATTAACTTCATGGCCATGTGTGAGACATTGCAGTGTGCAAGTTGATTGAAGAATACATTTGGAATTCATTATAAAGCAGTCGTTAGGGTCTATAAAATCCTAACCCACCTTATAGTATGGTTGGCTACTGCACTAGAACGCTTCTGGGTCGTCAAGTTGCCGCTGATGTCACTTCCTCACCAGGCGACGCACGCGAACAACACAGAAAGTGGACACGGTGGAGACCCGGAGCAGGTCATTTTGGTATCCCAACCTCTCGGTATGACAGAATTGCAGGTCATTAGGGGGAAGGGAGCTAACTGTCTCGCTGCACAGGCAATGGATGAGATCCATACCCCATTCACAGTCTGAACGAAGCAGCGCTATGAACAAAGAGAGTTATATCAAAGTTGCATTGGACGTGCTCATCTTTCATCTCACTTTGGATTTTGTTTTGTTGTTCGGTACTTGGAAAAGTTCTCATTTTCAAAGAATGAGAGAGTCAGATAAATTATCAATGGGATAAAGCTGAGGACTTCTCAGAACATTAACTAACATGAGGAATCCTTTAGTAAATAGCACACTCTTGACATTTCTGCATCCTCAAAATGCGAGTGGGAAGATCTCCTCCTTACAAAATACCCACACAACTGTCTTCCCTTCCCTCAGGCATCCCCTCAAATTCCACGCAAGGCGTTTCTACCGGTGCTGCCTAAAAAGCTCCCTGATAAAATTAGTCATTCACTGCATGGCTGTTTGTGCATAGTTACTGTGCACAAATTAGCTGCTGCTTTCACCCACAAAATACACAATCACTTCACTTACACTAAAACGGTCCTATGAAGTCCTTTGAGATGTATTCCTGGAGTGAAAGGCCAAATGTGAAGGAATAATAATAATCCTTAATAATAATAATCCTTGCATTTGATATAGCGCTTTTCACATCGGGAGGATGTCCCAAAGCGCTTCACAGAACACACTGTAAAGTGAATTGACTGTATATTTGTGGGCTCAGGAAATGGGCAACCGAGACCGCCACAGAAAGTTGGCTTGGTTCTGATATCCCATTGCCAAACATGTCACCTTGGAGCCAGTTCATTATGTGTTTCAAGAGGGAAACAGCTAGGTATATATAACAGAGGCAGGTGGAGTAAGGAAATTTGCTGAACGTTTCGCCCTGCCAGGGAATTGATCCCAGGTCCTCTCACTTACGAGGCGAGTGCTCTAACCAATAAGATACAGGAGACCACGGATAGAGGTGTGGGGTTAAGACAGGGCAGTGGGATTGAATGAACAACTTCCTCTGAGAACTGGTGCACACTCGATTGGCTGAACGACCTCCTTGTACCCTGTAAATGTCTCGGAATTGCATAGCGAGCTCTTCGAGATGTTAAAAAATACTCTTGCTTCCTGCATCGAAAGCTTTGCCCGCTTTCACTCAATTTGTTTCAGAGAGAAAACAATTGTAGAAATAAATAATCCATTGCACAAAATCTATTAATGATTCGTAACTTATGTATACATTAGAAATAAGATATAGCAAGGAACGTCGTTGGGATGTCTCCAGGCGATTTGTCTGTTAATGTCAATGAACCCTTTTCTTTCCAAAGGTTAATGCTTTTTAAAATTAGAATTTGTGAAATGTAATATAATGTGAACTCGTGTCTAATAGCACGCAACCTACTCTGGGTTCACAGTAAGTTGAACAGTTTTCATTCCGATTCTGATTTCATGTTTCAAAGCTGCATAGCGGCAAATCTCCAATGTTGTGAGTTCGAGATAAGCTCTGCTGATATATGGTGGTGTCTTCTGTATCGCAATTGTGACACAGTGTCACAAGATCGATTTGGATCTGACATTTGGCATATCTGACTTCATCCCTCCACTTTGCCGTCCTCCCATCTCAAGTACATTTTGAACGTGGATTCTATAAATGTTCCATAAATGTTAAGTATTTTAACAACGACAATGAAAATTTATAAAGCATTTCCCCCCCCCCCTCAACTCACTCTGTTGTCCTCCAAGCTTTGACAATCTTGCCAGCCTGTGCCTAATACTCTCCAGGCTTAGGTAGGATCCCATCTGCCTGTTCCGGTGGATGTTAAAAGATCCCACGGCACTTTTTGAAAAGAGAAGGGAGTTTCTTCTGGTGTCCTGGCCAACAATCCCTCAAAATAAAAATTGGTCGCTCATTTCATGGTTGTTTGTGGAACACTGTTGTGTGCAATCATGCTGCCATATTTGCCTACAAGTATAGTCAGTCCATTTCACAGTAAATCCCATAAAGCACTTTGAGACATCCTTCCATAATACGACGCTACACCAAATGCAAGAATTATTAGTATAAGAAGGGTCCATCCCTCCAGCAGAAAGAGTGTTTCATGTCAGGAGGACATTGCAAAGCCCTTCACGTAGCTAATGGCGGGGGGTGGGGGAATGAGTGCAAGCTAAGGGGGAGGGGTAAATTGACCGTAAACATGTTCAAAACAGTCTTAAGATGGATTTTAAGGGAAGAGCAAAAGTCAATTGTGTGATAAATTGGTATTCAGCCTTTCAAAACCTTTTCTGACACGTTCGATCACAGCTAATCTTTTAACCCCATTTTCGCCATCATCATCTTTTCACCAGAAGGCTCAGAACCATTTTTTTCCCAAGTGTCGATCTCCTTTTTAAACATCCCAATTCATTCTGCCTCTGCAACGATTCTGGGGCAGTGGATTCCACACTTTCACAATGAAAACGTGTGTGTTTGTGTTATCCTCCTCAGTTGGTAGCTCTCTTGATTCTGAGTCAGAAAGCTGAGAGTTCAGGTCCCAATGTAATATAGGCGATTGTTGGTCAGGACACTGGGAGAAATTCCCTTCTCTTTTTGAGCAGTGTCATGGGATCAGACTGGATCTCAATTTTAAAGACTCATATGAAGGATGGTATAAATGTCTTTGAACTGCATGTGAAAGGTTCCCTTTTCACACACAAGTGTTTGCTCCTGGTTAACCCAACCCGCAAATTAGACACAATGTCATCAATTGGGCTGATGCAAGGATCACATGCAGTATCAGTCAATCAAATCTATAGGATCGGGGTCTACTGGGCAAAAAAAACACAATCTCTTTGCTGAACATAACTGAGATGGTCCAAGACATCAGTGGTCCAAGATGCTATCCTTTATCCAGGGCACTGTACATTGCAGACTCTCTGTACCAAGCCACATTGTTAAGTGCTTTGGGACATCCTCCTGATGTGAAAGGCGCTATATAAATGTGAGTTTGTATTCTATTGTACGTAAGACCTATATTTTTGAACATGCTTTTGTTCCCTTCCCCTCCTCACCTTCCCCATACACTTCCCCCGCCCCAACCCATTCAGCCGTGTGAAATGCTATCCTCCTAACATGAATGATATTATCTAAAAGTAAATTGTTTTTGTTATCCTTATAACTAGTGTCAACTCTTATGAGTTCATCACTACTTCAATGATAACTTTCAATGGAAGGTTAGGAGCCATCGAGTTCCTATTAACAAAATGAGTAAAAATAATATCTGTATCTGAATTACCGAACACACAGGAACATATATGCTAAATGATGCATAAGTATTTTCTTCTAGATGATGAGACCTATCTCATTTCCAAAAATTTGCTGCACATAAGGTTCCATTAGAAAGAGATTGCGATTAAACTCAGTTTCCTGGTATAGGGAACTCCAGAGATTGAGGCCAGACACTGTGAGGATGGCAGATTTTCTTACCCTGAGGGACATTAGTGAAGTAGTTGGGTTTTTAAATGAATCAGTAATCCTTGCATTTCATATTGCACCTTTCCTATAATAATAATAATAATCCTTGCATTTGATATAGCGCTTTTCACGTCGGGAGGACGTCCCAAAGCGCTTCACAGAACACACTATAAAGTGAATTGACTGTATATTTGTGGGCGAACGCGGCAGCCAATCTTGTTGTTGTTGTTGTAACCACTGAGCTACAGGACTCCTATTAGTTGCTATGAAGTATTTAACATCCACCTTAACAGACAGACTCAATCTCGGTTTAAGTTAATTTATCCTATCCAAAGCATAGCACCTCCAACAAGCAGCGCTACCCCCCACTCCCAACGTGGGGCTCGAACCCACAACCTGTGCATCAGCGTGGCTCGCTCGTAGCGCTCTCTTCTCAGAATCAGAAGGTTTTGGGTTCAAGACCCACATCAGGACTTGCAATCACAAGTCTTAAGTTGACACTCCAGTGGAGTATTGGGGTGGTGTTACATTGTTGGAGATGCTGCCCTTCGAATGAGACGTTAAAGCAAGATCCCACCTGCCTTTTCAGGTGGATGTTATTCAAAAAGAGAAGGAAGTTTCTCCCTGTGTCCTGGCCAACAATTCCCCCAAATAAAATTGGTCACTCACTTTGTGGCTGTTTGTGGGGCATTGCTATGAGCAAATTGGCTGCTGCGTTCGTCCACAAAATACATAGTCACTACACGTTACAGTATATAAAGTGTTCCAGACAGGGCGAAACTTGGGCAAGTTTCCTTACTCCTAATAATAATCCCTCCAAAACCAAAAACAATAATAAAAAATTGATCATTTTCAATCTACGACTGTTTGTGGGACATTGCTGTGCGCAATTGGCTGCCGCGTTCGCCCACAAATATACAGTGTGTTCTGTGCAGCGCTTTGGAACGTCCTCTTGACGTGAAAAGCACTATATCAAATGCAAGGATTATTATTATCATTATTATATTCTGTGAAACACTTTTAGATGTCTCGACAACGTGATAAGGCGCTCTATCAAATGCAATTATTATTATTATTATTGCTATTATTATTAACTTTCTTACTCAGAGGCGAGAGTGCTCCCAATTGAGCAAGGCAATTAAATGTTTCTTTCTTCCCGTACGGCAGGTACCTTGTGTGAAATCAACATAAAGGAATGCCATTCATCTCCTTGCTTGCACCACTCGACGTGTATCGATCTCATCGATAGTTACAGATGTCTCTGCCTGCCCGGCTTCACAGGTAAGTGGTCATAAGTTGATTTCTACCTGAAGGTGTAGCCACTGCACTCAGAAAGAGAACCACACTTTCAATTTACCTTCACTCGCCCCCCCCCTCCCCCCATCCCCACCATTTATGCTTTGAGCTGGAATAGAAAATCGCAAAGTTCCCCTAAAAATAAATTATACAGAGTCAAAACATGTCTGAGACCCTGTTGTCCCGAGAGAAGATTAGTGAGTGTTGAGCAATTCAGAGAGGAGATGGTATGGATTCTGGCAATGAATGTGAAGTAAATGGGCCTTGGCAGTAATTTATTTGGAATCCACTTTTGACTGATGTAGTCCAGCTTCTTATCACAGAGAGTTTGGGATATATTCTGTGAGCAGACAGGAGTTATAGCTTGACAGATATTCTTTGCACCCCCCCCCACCCCCTCTCTCTCTCTCTCTCTCTTTGATTGACAGTTCCTCCCTCTCTCTCTCTCTCTGCTTGTTTTGGAAGGCATAACGTGCGAAACAGATGTAGACGACTGCGCTTCAAAGCCCTGCACAAATGGAGGCACGTGCCTCGACCGGCCAGGCGATTACTTCTGCAGTGCCCAGCTCCGTTTAAAGGTAATGAACACTGAGGGGGAAGGAAATGCAGACATAATTAACGTCATAATCCCTTTCAGTCACTCGTCTGTCTGACCCGACTCACTCTCCCAATCGCATTATCAAATGCAATGATAATCCTTGCATTTGATGTAGCGTTTCAACTCCCTGGAGAGGTGTGAAACAATACAAGCGGAGTGACTGTGTATTTTGAGGGCGAACCTGGCAGCCAATTTGCAACGGCAATGCCCCACAGACAGCCATTAAACGAATGATTTTTTTATATATCCGGGGGATTGTTGGTCAGGACACAGGTAGAAACTCCTTCTCTTTTCGAGTAGAATAGAATGTTTAATATCCACCTGAACAGGCAGCTGGGACCTCGATTTAACATATCATCCGAACGGTACCACCTCCAACAGTCCAGCACACACGCCCAGCATTGAATTAGAACGTCAGCGTATATTGTGAGTTTAAAGTCCTGATGTGGGACGTGAACCTACAACCTTCTGACTCGAGGGCAGACACTTTACTAACGCTGAGTTTAAAGGATTAGGTCAATTTGTTTTGAACCTGAGATATTTGTGTGTGTGTGACTGTTTGTGTGTGTGTGGGGGGGGAGTGGGGGTTTGGGGGAAGGATAGGAAGAGAGAAAATGTCACAAAATTGTGGTTTCTTACGTGTGGTTTCCATATGTATTTGCAGCTCGGCTATTGTGTATTATCTGCCTGGTGTCAGGCATTTTATTCTCAGGCTGATAGATAATTCTCAGGCTGAAAGATAAGACATTGGACTTCAGCAACTAAATAAGTAGTGATTAGAGTCAGATAAGGACTAACTCGATTTATTTAATCCAGGGAAGTGGAGATATGAGGGTGAATAATTTACGCCATTCAATATCACTTGTCTGACTCAGAGCATGGGCTGTGTTGTAAGGCTTTCTATCAGTTTGTTTATTGTGGTTTGCTGCAAATAACCAAAGGCTTTTCTCTGTTTCTCTCCTCTGGGATTGTGCTGGATGTGAGGAAAATGGGACCCCAGTCTTAACAGCACACTTGCTGGGTTAGACAAACAGCTCTGAGCAATTACATTCCACCCACATTGCAGTTGGGTTATAATGATAATCGTTGCATTTGATACAGCACTTCATCATGTCGTTGAGACGTCTCAAAGCTCTTCACAGAATATATTGTAAGTGGATTGACTGTGTTTTTGTGAGCGAAATGCGGCAGCCAGTTGCACACAGCGGTGTCCCACAAACAACAACAATATTACATTTATAGAGCGCCTTTCACGTTGGGAGGACGTGGATTGAGTGAACGTTGACAGTGGTGGATTGAGTGAGCAAATTTTTTGGGGGGAGTGATTAACACCCCCGGAAAGTGATCCACCAATCAACTAACAACCAGTTTCCTGCTTAATGCCAGGTCAACAGAAAGTAGCCTAAGGTTTCGCACTGTCTAGTTGAACCCGGGTCCTCTCACTTGCGAGGCAAGTGTACTAACCAACACACTAAGGGACTCCACAATCATATAGGTTATGTGTTAGGTTAAGAATCCAAATGCACATTGAACAAGGTGAGTGAGTGAGGGTGGGTGGGTCAGAGGGTGGAGAGGGAGGGAAGGAGCGAGAGGGATTCTGGAATGGAGTTCCAGAAATCGGGGAAGAATGGCTGAAATCCTGCCTATCAATCATGAGGCAGATAGGGTGGGGTACATGTAACAAGCCGATGTTCACTGAGCGAATGGAGTGGTCAGGTCAGTCGGGAGATCATGGAGGTAGGGTGGAGGTAGGGTGGGGCGAGATCATAGAAAGATTGATAAGTGCTACATCTCATGCAAGCATGATTCACATTATATACAGAGCAAATCTAGACCTACGTGGATTTTTTTCCCTGAGTGTCTTGCCCATAACGTAGAATAAGCAACAGAGGGAAGCAGCCTTCATCAAGTTTGAATGTAGGTCGCAAAGCAGAAAGGCCAGTGTGCAAAATTCCCTGTGATACCTATTCCCTCAGGTATAGAAATCTTTTACCTAGAAATAGCTATGGTTGCATTATATTTAAATAATTCATTCTATGCGTACCGCACAATATCTTGGGGATAGAGGAGGTGATTTTACTCTTGTCAGTAAAATTTCTATATGACTTGTGACAGGAGGAAAATCGGAGGTTTAGGGGCAAAGGGTTTTCATGCGTTAAAATAGGAAGCTACAATTTTCTGCCCAGCAGCACAAGTGACTAATAATAGTTTCCCAACACATGGCTAAGAAAGCAATTAAGAGATTTAATGGGTGCTGGAAGCCATTGAGGTTTGATGGTCGCTGGGAGCAGGGAATCATCCTATTCAGCTCCTGTTAACCCTGTGAGACAAGGCCCTAGCATGGTCCTTAGCTGGGCAAGCAGTGGGAAGCTTGCCAGTGTTCACAAACACTGAAAAATCTCACAGCATTTCATAGGATTAACTGTTAGGTATAGTGACTATTTATTTTGCATGCATTCGCGGGCCCTAAGTTTGCACTCAGCTTTGGCCCACAAACAATCCGTCCTTCAGATGAAACTTTAGACCGAGGTCCTGCCTGTTCAGGTGGAGGTTAAAGATCCTATGGCATATTTGAAAAGAGAAGGAATTTCTCTCGCTCTGTGTCCTGGCCAACAATCCCCCAAATAAAGTTGGTCACTCACTCCACGTCCTTTGTGAGACTCTGCTGTGTGCAATTGGCTGTCGCATTTTGCGTACAACATATACAGTCAATTTGCTTTGCAGTATATTTTATGAAGTGCTTTGAGATGTCTCAACGATGTGATAAGGCGTGATGTCAAATGCAAGGATTATTATTATTATTCACCTTCTGACTTAGAAGCAAGAGCGCTAGCAACTGAGCCAGAATGACACCTAAACCCACAAGCATGTGGGTAGTGTAGGGCACACAGTGGCACGTTGTTTTCACCAATGCTTTGTGATTGATGTTCTATTTTTTTCCCCGTTATACTAAAGCAACTGGACCTGCAAAAGGAAAAGCCTCACATTTGAACCTGTCAAGAGGAAATAGCATTTCCAGGGGCTCTGATTGCTCTATAAGGACTTACATTAGTGTAGTAAACTGCTTAAGTTGAATTGTACACCTTCAACTGAAAGGCTGAAAAAGGAGCATGGGCCTGGATTATCAAATGTACAATAGTAATAATCCTTGTATTTGATATAGCGCCTTATTATGTCAGAAGGACATCTCAAAGCGCTTCACGTATATATAATAATGGAAGCCTGAAAGTCTCCCTCGTCGCAACCTTCAGGTCGAAATTTCCATCTTGAAATTTAAGAAAGTCTTCTGGCTCCCCCTCCCTCCCCACCTTCATCTCTGCCCAGCTCTGGCTCCTAATCTAAATATTCTTTGCACTTTGATATAGTGCCTTTCATGTCAGCAAAGCACTTCACAGGATTTACTAAAGTGTAGTGACTGTATTACCATCAGGTAATTGCAGTTGAGGTACAGATCAGCCATGATCTGATAGAATGGCAGAACAAGCTCGAGGGGTTGAATGGCCGACTCCTGTTCCTATGTATTTTTGTGGACAAAAAGCAGCTAATTTGCACACAGCAAAATCCCATAAACAGCCATGAAATGATTGATTTTTTTTATTATCTAGAAGATTGTTGGTCAGGACACCGGGAGAAACTCACTTTTCTTTTCGAATAGTGCCCTGGGATCTTTAACATCTACTTCAACAGGCAATAATCTGTTCTCCTACACAGAGGGCACAGTGTAAGTGCCAATCGTTGTTGTAGACATTTTGGAGTAGGCAATTTGCCCTTGTTTCTCTTTTTGATCACATCAGTACAAGTGTTCTCTGCAGCTTGCTCCCTGCCTGCCATCTACACTCTTAATTCTGTTATCAAAGGTCGGAAACCTGTGCTTCTCAGGGGCAGGCTAGTGTACTGCATGCACCCTGTCTATTTTCATCAAATAGTCCATTCAGTCAGACAAACAACAACGCACATGTTAATCAAAGAAACCTGCACTCATACTAACTCACTCGGTAAATTTGTATGATGAAGCCAAGCTTGTGTTTCACACCACAGGGAGACCATCACTGCTCTAGTACATCTTTCGGGAGCTTGTTCAAAGCTTGAGCTTCACACCATCAGACAGGCCAGCTGTATAAATTATTGGGAAAGAATCAAAGAGCTTGCATTTTGCACCGTGAAGCTCATTGATGTAGGAGAGCACACGGCACACCTTTTACCAAATGAATCTTTGTACTTTTCCTACAGCTGCACAAAATGGTTATTACATCAGTGGTGGCAGCCTAGCGCAATATGATTTTAATGATAATAGTAGTAATAATAATCATTGCATCTGATATGTTGCCTTCCAGATGTCTCAAAGCCCTTTGCAGAATATACTGTAAAGTGGATTGACTGTATATTTTATAGGCGAAACGCGGCAGCCAATTATGCGTAGCAGTGCCCCACAAACAATCCTTTTAAAGTTAAGTAATCCACTAAGACTGCTCCCCAACCCATTTGCTATGTAAGTGCTTGTGGTTAGATATTACTGAAGCTCCAATGGAGCACTGGGTGAATGCTATATTATCAGAGGTGCTGTCCTTTGGATGCGATGTTAAACCCGAGTCCCATCTGTCTGTTCAGGTGGATGTTGAAGATCCCATGGCCCTATTTGAAAAGAGAAGGAAGTTTCTCTCTCCCAGTGTCTTGGCCAACAATCCCCCAAATAAAATTGGTCACTCACTCCATGTCTGTCGCATTCACCCACAAAATACACAGTCACTCCACTTTACAATAGATCCTGTGAAGCACTTTGAGACATTTCGATGATGTGACAAGGCACCATATCAAATCCAAGGATTATTATTATTAGTTTGGATGCAACACCAGGAACCACCAAAAGCCCTACTGCTAACAAGGAAAAGATTCCTCCTGAGCAAGGCTGATTGTCCACTGACAGTTCTGACAGTTTTCGCCATCAACACCTTTCACAGCGCAGACTATCCAGTCTCGCTTAATGTGAATCGAGATGGAAACACATCAAGAAAGCAATCCGTGGAAATACCTCCCCTGTGAGTTGCCTGAATTCTCACGGTTATTCTCTCTACTCTTTGCATTTTAATGGGAAGTGACACCTTGTAGCACTTGCCCTGGGAAGAGCTGGGTTATGGGGGCCTGATAGCGCCTTGGCAAATGTTTGGCTCACTTTGCAAATCAATACCGTTGTTTGTTTCTGCACTTGATATGGTATCAGCTTGGCTTAGTGTGCGGCACTCTCACCACTGACTCAGAAGATTTGGGGGTTTGAGCGCCACGACAGGATTTTGAGCTCACACAGTCTAGGCTTGGCAGTCCAATGTGCCGCTGAGGGATCAACAACAACAAATTACATTTGTATAGCGCCTTTCACGTCAGGAGGTCATCTCAAGGCGCTGGACAGTCAGAGATCTGCACCCAGGCTGGTGGTTGGGATCAGGAGGTTTGGAGGGCAGGCAGGGTGAGGGTAAGAGGGTGACTGAAGGTGCGGTCAAAGAGGAGGGTCTCGAGACGGGCTTTGAAGAAGGCAAGGGAAGGGGCAAGGCTAATGGAGTGTGGGATGGACTTCCAAAATGGGGGGGCAGAAAGTCTGAAAGCGCAACTGCCGATGGTGAGGCAGGCAGTGGTGGAGGGCACGCTGAGCAAAGGGAGCGGACAGCTACAGCCGCCTAAAAAAACACAGTCACTACACTTAACCCTGTTAACCATGTGAAGTACTTTGAGGCATCCTCCCGACGGGTACGGTGAGCTAGGAAACGTAATGATTACAATTAATATTCACTCTCGGGTATCTGTGCTTGTGTTTTTATTCAGATCATGAAACCCACAGCAGACGGTTGTCATGTTCTTCCTTTGAAAATAGGATCATCGGTGTTTTTTGAGGGGAAGATTTAATGGCTTCCTCGCTGTGTCCTTTCCTGTTTTGTTGCAGGATGTTGTATCGCTGTTCAGGGTTTGGCTCATGTGGTGGGGCTGTTTGTCAGCACTGCAAAACTGTCACATGCCTTTAACGAGAAGATCCACTAATGTCAATTCATACACCACACAGTGCATCCTATATCCTCTGTGTCCTAATTGGCCACATTCCCATGTCTTTCTGGTCAGGAATGCTGTAGGTTGTGTGACTCAGATAATAACAGTAATATTCCTTACATTTGGTAATAGAGCGTCAGGAGGATGTCTTGCATACTGACCTGGACCCAACTCCCTACACTCTGTGGCCCTCCCTACCTCTCCCACCTCCTCTTTCCCCAATCCACCACCCAATACCTCTGCTCGACTGGCACCAGTCAGAGGTTTCCGCTCACCCTGGGATGTAAATGGAGATGGAGCCGTTGATGGGAAATAATATGAGCCAGAAACATTTGCAAAGTGTTTTGTTCAAATTCAGTATTCCAGTGCATTCCTACTTCAAGACCTTCCTGGTAGTACTCTCGCCTCTGGGTCCTCAAACCTCGCGTCGAGACTTTGAGCTCACAGTCTAGCCTGACATACCAGTGTAGTAATGGGGTGAAGCGATGCATTGTCGGAGGTGCTGTATTGAGATGTTAAAGACGAACACCACTGAAAAAAGATCTGGTGACACTATTGGAAAAAGACAAGTGAATCTTTCCCAGTGTCTTGGCCCCTGAACCTCCAGATTAATTGGTCTTTCACCTGCTACTGTTCATGAGGTATCACATACACTTGGCCGTAAGTACCTGTGAAGTGCTTTGTGTGATAAGGTGCTATAAATGTCCAAACTCATATTATTTCTCCTTTTCACTCTCTGTAGATATGGAGTGGAGTGGAGTCCTGTAGCTCAGTGGTCAGACCACTCGCTTTGCAAGCGAGACACCTGGGTTCAATTCCAGGCAGAGCAAAACCTTGGGCAAGTTTCCTTACTCCACACACCTAATAATAATCCCTCCAAAACCAAAAACAATAATAAATTGGTCATTTTCAATCTACAACTGTTTGTGTTCAAACCTCTCCAACCTACTATCCCCCTACCTACCTGCCCGTACCCTCCGTTCCTCTGGCTCCGGTCTGCTCCACGTCCCCCGCCCCAACCGCCCTACCATCGGTGTCGGGCCTTCAGCCTCTCAGCCCCGAGGCTCTGGAACTCCATCCCCCAGTGCCTTCGCCGCTTCCTCCCTTTCCTCCTTCAAGGCCGGTCTCAAAACCTTTCTCTTTGACCGTGCCTTCAGCTCCCCTCTCGACTCTCTTCCCCCTCCTCGCTCCCTCCCTTCCCTCCCCTCACCCTGACCATTTCCCCCCTCCTTGCTCCCTCCCTTTCCTCCCCTTACCCTGACCATTTCCCCCCTCCTCGCTCCCTCCCTTCCCTCCCCTCACCCTGACCATTTCCCCCTCCTCGCTCCCTCCCCTGACCATTTCCCCCCTGCTCGGGTCATGACCCAACTGTGCAGCGCCTTGGGACGTCCTCCTGACGTGAAAGGCGCTTTATAAATGGAATCTTGTTGTTGTTGTGGGACATTGCTGTGCGCAATTGGCTGCCGCGTTCGCCCACAAATATACAGTCAATTCACTTTACAGTGTGTTCTGTGAAGTGCTTTGGGACGTCCTCCCGACGTGAAAAGCGCTATACCAAATGCAAGGATTATTATTATTATTCCTCAACCTTATTTTGCAGCGGAGACATATGTTCAAAGGTAAGACCTATTTATGGCACTCACACAGTCCTTAAATGACAATAACCTGCACTCATGTAACGTTCCATGAAAATAAAATCTCCAAGATGCCAGAGTGCAGTGAGAAAGAAATGATACTTGCGGACTAACAGGGCTAATTCCACACAAGTCTAATTTTAATCTAATAACGCAGCCTTATAGAGTAATTTGTTGGCAAATTATTTAATACATTAAATATAATTTTGAAACCTATTTTCTGCTATTTCTCTTACGAATAACGGGAAATGGATTTTAAAGTTAAGGCTGAATTGAACAATTTGCCGACTTCTGAACGCTCCGAAATGTTATGCAAATAGAATACATCTAGACCCAAGTGGAATGTAAATCTAGACCCAATCTCTCCCATTCCATGGCTTTATTCAAAACATGAAAGAAGTTTATCCAGGTGTACTGGCCAACAATCCCACAAATAAAATTAATCAGTCAACTTCATTGTTGTTTCGTGGGACATTGCTGTCCTTAAATTGACTGTCGTATTCGCTTGCAAATCCAGTCATTATCCTTGGCACCACTACCTGGGAAGCTCTTTGAGTATTTCTGATGGGATGAGATGCCACATCAAATGCATTGATTAATATTCATTACTGCACACAAGAAGTGTTTTAATTGAAATGATGTATATTTAATCGAAGTGTTTGTATGATTCAGTGCACTTGGGAGTGCAAACACAGAGGATGGGTGTCGGTTTTCAGGGCTGCAGCTGATGTCTGACTTTCAATCATGAGGCTGTTGCTATACAAATGTAATCTTGTTGTTGTTGTTGTTTCTGCAGCGGCAATGGGTTACCAGTGTCAGCTGGGCAAAGTGAGACGGCTCGCATGTGTGTGTGCGTGTGTATATGTGCGTGTGTGTTCGCACATGTATGTGCATATGCATGTGTGCCTGTGTGTTTTGTGAGCGCTTGTGTGTGTGTTTGGCAGCGCCTTGGGACATCCTCCTGACGTGAAAGGAGCTATACTAATTGAAATTGTTGTTGTGTGTGTGTGTATGTACGCGCGCACGTGTGTGTGAGTATGTTTGTGAGTGTGTGTGATCACAGCAAGCAAATGGGATGTGCAGAAACAAGTCTTCCAGAGTGTGAGAGAGGGGTGGGGAGGAAATGCTAGATGCAGGAAATCAGCCATGGACGAGTCGGGAAAGATTTTATTCCGAATCGGTGGCAAATCGTCACTGCTTTCATTGGTCATCTCGCCCACTGATCCAGGATCTGCTATGAATTATTAAACACCTGACAGATTGAATTTGAAAAATCTGTTTTGAGCTATCACATTGAGCAGCCTCATACATAAAACACAGTCGCTGAAGCCTTTTGCCACACTGTGAGGTTTAGGTCAGTCTGAGTACCCACACAGATCATTTCACGTGTACAGCAACAACTTATCTCTTCAGTTCAGCTGGACAAGAGAGCACATGGGTTCACGGTTATGAAGGGCAATTTCAGGTCAGACACCAGGAAGTATCTTTTCACTGAGGATGGGTCTCAGTTTGGCTCAGTTGGCAGCACTCTCATCTTTGAGTTAAAATGTTATAGATTCAGCAACAACAACAAATTCCATTTATATAAGAACATAAGAACCCAAGAATTGCTAGACGACAAAAGACCAAGGTCCATCCAGTTCACCTTCCACCATCCTGGCAGTCACATGCACATGTCATGTCCCAAACTATGTACTGCATCCCATAATATTATTTCCTAAAAGAAACCTATTCTTTTGAAAGAATCAACACTTTCTGCTTCCACCAAATCCCTAGGCAGCCTGTTCCAGACATTTACCACTTGCTCACTGACATAGTGTTTCCATAGGTTTCCAGATTTCCAGCATCTGCAGTATTTTGTTAGTGTTTCCACAGATTTATTTCGAAATC